CTACATTTTTGGGCTTAAGACACAAAATATCATCAACATATCTGAACCATTTAGCTCTATTAGGGAGGATTGTGTTAAGCAGCCTTGTTTCAAAAAATTCCATGTATAGGTTACTAAGAACAGGTGAAAGAGGATTTCCCATTGCCATACCAAACTTCTGAGTGCAAAACTTATCACTAAATACAAATTTTGCATCAACAATGCAAAGTTTAATAAGTTTAATGATAGTAGGAACTGGCAATGGTAAATGGTAATTAACGAGTTCTTCAGATAAGAAACTTAATAAATCATCAACAGGAACTTTCGTAAACAAGGAAGTAACATGAAAACTAACCATGTTAAAATTTTTTTTTAAGTCAGTCAAGGAGCTTAATTTATCAACTAAATCTATGTTGTTTTTAACATTAAAGTTAGAAATTTTGCCAACAATAGGGCTCAAAATATCAACAAGCCATTTGGATAATTTGTATGAAACTGATCTTATGGAGCTAATAATTGGTCTGACTGGATTTCCTGGTTTGTGTGTTTTTATTAGTCCATACATGTAAGGTAAAGATGGATTAGTGGAAGTAAATTGTTTGACTAATTCATTTTTGCCTTTCAGTAGAAGTTTTATTGTTTCTTTGAAATTGCTTGTTAATATGGATTGTTGATATTTTGAGCCCTATTGTTGGCAAAATTTCTAACTTTAATGTTAAAAACAACATAGATTTAGTTTGATCCAAGGCAACCAGCTTTCAGAGAGAAGGCTTACAGCTTTTCATCTCATCTCGTGCATGCATCAGCCTTCCTAGAGATATTGGATCAAACGTGTAGCGCTAGCTACACGCGAAGGAATTGTCCAGTGTGGGTAGATTGGTAAAGCACTGCGTACCTTGTCCCAAGGTTCGTAGGTTCGAGTCTCCTTCAGCCAGAGATCAGTGTTTGTGTATATTTCGCCTGCTCTTGCGAATTCCTTGCATTGTTAATATCTCTAGGAAGGCTGATCCATGCAGGAGATGAGATGAAAAGCTGTAAGCCTTCTCCCTGAAAGCTGGCTGCCTTGGATCAAACGTGTAGCGCTAGCTACACGCCAAGGTATTGT